AAGGAAGGAAGGAAGGAAGGAAGGCAGGCAGGCAGGCAGGCAGGCAGGCAGGCAGGCACAGGAGGAAGATGATCAAGAACTATTGTAATAAGCTAACTCATTCCATTCTCTTGATACTGATTGACTAAATCTTTAAACTAAAAACATATAAGAAGGGAGACAGAGCAGCAGTCCATCATGGCTGCCACCCAATGTTATTTGACAACCTTAGGTTGAATAAGTTTTTCTTTGACCTCCACTGATTGTCTGACATGTCTTATTGGATTCCTGTCTTGGGCATGAACTGCAGGAAAATAAGTTATCTGATTGTTCTGACAATAGAAATGCAGGAGCAGCTGTTGAATACTGTACTCATTAATCTACTGAACGATGAAGGCCTCTTCACCGAAGGTTATGCAATGCAATCTACCTTGCTTGGTCCAATGTGGGTTGACAGATGGATGTTTTTCAACTTTCCAGTCTAGGGCTAAGAGAGAAGGACTGGCCCAAAATCAACCAGCCGGCTTCTGGGCCTAAGGAGAACTAGACCATCTGTTTCCATACGCCTAGGCCTTAATGACTCCACCACACTGGATCTTTTATTTATATATGAATTTTCATACTGCTAGACTAAAAAATGACTTCCAGCATTTTACTTCATTAAAACATAAATGAAATAAAAATATGGCATCACAATAAATAATCAGATGAAAATACAATAAGCAGAATGGTGACTGTTCATTCTCCAAATGCCTTCTGGAACTCTTCAGTCTTAGGTCACTTCTAAAAGGCTAACAACTTATTTTACACTAAATAAACTCAAAAAGCCAACAATTGTGGCCCTAATATCCCCCTTTCACATCATTACCAAATGTTGACATTAAGGAAGAATTTCTTTCCATTGCTTTGTCATTAAATGTAGAAATACTGGCCTCATCCATACAACCTCCTTGCCCTGATGTCAAGATGGACTACTAACTATTTGCTGAGGATGTGTCTTCACAACAGAGATTCCATTAATAATAATAAT